GTCTTTGATAGTTAATTGCTTAATTAAAAACACATCTCTTTTCAAACTTGCTTTCAATGGGCAAAATAACAAGTACTGAGTATCATTTTTAACCACCTGCCTTCCTTCACTAAAACAATCAATCCAATCATTGATGAAATTTATAAGAAGTCATTTGTCTTACTAAACTATGTGCAAATTATTGCTACTTCAAAGGGATTTCTAAGATATACCATAAATTCTACAGTCGTTTGTTGAACGAGTACGACTGAGAAAACCATTTTTCGTCCAAAGTGACCTGCATAGTGACGTCATTTTCACATTGTGACGTCCCAAACAAGGAGAAAGCTTTATTCAGCATATGCTATTTATAGACCTTATGTATGTCTACATGTGTACTAATTTTTTTTCTAATCTGAATTATGGTTTTGTAGATATAGAGAAAGTTCGCGAATCTTTTTATCACCCCTCGTGCTTTGGGATCCAACATATTTACGAGGGCTGTTCAATAAATAACGTCATGAGCTCGATGAAATACAACATAGAAATCAAATGAATCATAGGAAAAACTTGATTTTTCTCTCATGATGAATCTTTGATGAATTGATTACAGTTAATGTGACCACTTTTATCACATAATTTTATTTTGAGAAGCTTGAATACAAGGGCTATTCGAGGCACACTGCATTAAAAATGAATGGAAAAGAATCAATAAACTGGAATGAAATTAAACGTTTCATTATAGCTGATGCAAAACTCGTTAAGAATCCCAAAGAAATATTCATTGAAATGTAAAAAAATTGCAGCAACCAATGTCTGTTTTAACACATATGAACAGGCAGATTTCAATGAACAAATATGATATATGTAATAGGCATCAAAAATGGGTACAGTCCTTGGCAAAAAGGACTTACAACAACAAATATACGGCTTGTTAAAAATCAGCAAATCATCACTGATTATGTTTGATTGGCTTTAATACATATAGCAAAATTGACAGGCATCATCTTGGGGGTAGTTCACAATGTTTTAAAGAAACAGTCGACGGTAAAAATCAAAATTTGCAATATCAAAGTTTGAGAAATTTAACATGATAATAAAAGAATAAATTGCTTAAACCCTAAAACAAATTTTGTATTAATTTACAATAAGAGCACTTGACAAAAACAGCAAAAGCCTCGTAGATAAGCACATAGAGTTGCAAGAGCACAAAAAGGTTTTATATGCTATTTTCTTAAATATATTGGTTTTGTTCAAAAATGATGCAGTTTAATTTCACGAGTATTCACTAGAAAGCAAAATGTGATTGTATGTTGAAAGGTTTATGAGACTTTTTCACTCATATGGAATACACCATTAAATTTCTTCATGACAGGGGATCCAGCAGATCATGAAGACTAAAGGAGCCTTAAGGGCTATTAAGCTAGGAAAGATAATGTTGTTGTGCCAGCACAATTTTCGCAAGATATCGGGACCTTGATTTGTTTCATTTTCACAACTTGAAAAAAAAACCTTTCAGTGGGATTCGAAAAAGCACAGGAAATCAACTCCATATTCCAGAAACTAGGGCAGATGCTTTAACTAATGTGCCAGAAATTTTGAAATTGAATACAAATGTTTCCCATTGACGTGGGTTTTTATTAAAAGAGATTTTTGATTTGAAATCACTGGGACTAAATCTAAATGAGTGTTTGTTTTTCCTTTGATAATACATTATTTATTGAACAACTCTCAATTCTAGAAATTACGGAATATAATTTGTTTACAAAAAATAATCTTAAAAAGTTTATAAACATTACAACTCAGTTTTTAAACATCATATCAATGCATATAACAATATTTTATAAAAAATAAAAAAAAATTCTGTGAATAACATTTGAAGTCAAAATTTAGTTGTGTAGAATATTATTTGAATACATCGTATTTATTAAATGATCAATATATGAATGATATCACTGTTTGTATATTTATGCTCTGATTCAAAATGTCTGTGATGAAAGTCCGGCTCACAGCAATTGATGCAAGCTCTGGTGGTTCTTTGTATCTGCCAGTAAAACTATTTTTTAGAGAAAATTTCTTACGTTTAATAAAATATTCGTTCTAGAGCATGTAAAAAGTTTCTGGGTAGTTGATCAACGGCTCATTGTAGGTTATTAAATTTTAGGTTCCTACCAAAGGCTCAAGTGGTGAACTCAAATACATGTATAAATAATGAAAAACGTCTGTAAACTTTTCACATTTTCGACTTCTTCTCAAGAACCACTAGGCCAATTTAAACCAAAATTGTTCCAAAGCATCCTTTGGTAATGCGGAAATTTAAATTCTCTAAATGAATCGCCAAGTCCCCTCACAAAAGGAGATAATCAAGAAAAGACAAAAATAAGGTAGGGTCATTAAAAAATCTTCTTCTCAAGAACCACTGGGCCCAGAAAAACTGAAACGTATGTGGAAGCATCCTGGGGTAATGTAAATTCTAAATTGGTCAAATCATAACCCCCGGGGGTAGGGCAGGGCCACAATTGGGAAAACTAAGTTTTGCATAGAAATATATATGAAAAATCTTAGAAATTTTCTTCTCAAGAACCACTGGGCCAGAAAAGCTGAAACTTATGTGGAATCATCCTGGAGTAGTGTAGATTCTAAATTATCAAAATCATGACCCCCGGGGGAAGGGTGGGGCCAAAATGGCCGAACCCAAGTTTTACATAGGAATATATAGGAAAAATCTTTTAAAATTCCAAAGAATCACTAAGCAAGAAAAGCTGAAACATATGTGGAAGCATCCTGGGGTTGTGTAGATTCTAAATTGATAAAATCATAATCATGACCCATGGGGTTGGGCAGGGCTTCAATGGGAAATCAAATTTTTACATAGAAATATATAGGAAAAATCTTTAAAAATTTTATTCTCAGAAAACCACTGGGCCAGAAAAGCTGAAACGTATGTGAAAGCATCCTGGAGTAGTGTTCATTCTAAATTGTAAAAATTCATGACATCCGGGTATAGGCGCAGCACAGTTAAGGTTCAAATAGGGGGAAAGGAGGCGGGGCCTAATTTGTACGGGAAATGTTTACTATGACGTCACACAAAGTATAAGGTCTTCAAAATAACACAAAATGAACTTATTTCCTATTTCAAACAGCTGGATAGCTGTATACTAATATAAACTTACTATTACAGGCAGTTTTGCCGTTTGTTAAATCCCACACAACAGTATATAAACGATGCATCGATCGCAATGCACTTGTCAATGTGACGTCATCTCGCAAAAATGACGCAGTTTGTACACAGCGAGGGGCTGATCAAGTCGCATCTTGTACAATGAAAAATTGTCTTTTGTTCTCAAATAAAATATTATTTGCAATTAAATAAAAGGCCGTTAGCTTGGATGTGATGTCTATTTTAGTATTTTATTTATAAATTCTCCGTACATTCTCCGGACAATTGATACTGTCGTGTGTTTGTATGCAGATTCATTGAAAAAGTAAAGGAAGGGACCTATTAAATCGATTTATTGCAAGGACATACCCTCAATGTATCTCCTCAAGTTTTCACATCTAAACTCAAGAAGCATTAAGATATATGAAAAGTGCCGCGAACCTCATGAAATCTTGAAAATAAATTATTTATAACTATATTTAATGTAGTTGTCCAGCAAAATATAAACTGCCGTCCAACAAATTAAATTTTAGCCATTTAAAAAAGGGAATCTAAATAGGTTCGCAGCACTTTTCACAACCTACATAACAATAGTGTTGAAAAGGGTTATACATTAAACTAAGATTTTTAACTTGGTTATGCCCTTGCAATATTGGAATTTATAACTACCTCTAAACTGCAAGAATAATTGCTAGAATTATTCTTGACGTCGACATCACGTGACAAGTCTTAAAAAAAAATTCTAAATGTCCCCGACATGTAGATTTAAACCACATTACATTTTTTTTATATCAGTGAAGTCCTAAAAATAATCGCCCATCCTAATAAAGTATGTATTTTTTATCTTAAAAAATTGCCTATATTTCCATTTGTAACCTTAACTATGCTGCGGGACAGGGCCACAATAGGGAATCCAAGTTTTACATAGAAATGTATAGCAAAAATCTCTAAATAAAAATCTTCTTTCCAAGAACCACTGAGCCAGAAAAGCTTAAATTTATTCGGAAGCATCCTGGAGTAGTGTAGATTCTAAATTGTTCAATTCATGAGCCCGGGCTCAGGGCGGGTCCACAATAGGGAATCCAAGTTTTACATAGAAATATATAGGAAAAATCTTTAAAAATCTTTTCTTCAGAACAATTTGCCAGAAAAACTAAAAGTCATGTGGAAATATCATGGGGTAGTGTTGATTCTAAATTGTAAATCAAAATTGTAAACCCCTGAGAGAGGAGGGGTATATGGCTACAATAAGTATTACAAGGGGGAAATTCTGGTAAAAAAACAAAGTTACTCAGGTGAGTGATGTGGCCAATGGACATCTTGTTTTATTAAGTGAAATATCGAATATTAGATACATGTGATGTGCAAGATTTTTGTATTTTTTTATTTCAACAATAAAATGGTCCCTGCTATGACCCCAGTCCTGATAAAGAAGCAATTATTTTTTATCACAATCCAAATTCTTCAACAATGTATCTTAATTCACAAAACATGAACTAAAAGTGATTGAGTTCAAGAACATGAAGTAAAAAATTGAAAATAATTATTATTATTGATAATTTTTATAGCTTTTTTTTCTAGCGTCGACATCTGCCACTATCAGCCACTGCAATGACAATTCTGACTGCACCACTTGTTCTGACTATCAAATTGGACAGTGCATCCACCACCAATGTAACTGCTCTGGTATGTGTACAGATATTTTATGTACAATTAGGACTGAAAACGTGGTACTATTTCTATAAATAAAACATTTTTAAGAAAGCTCTAACAAAAAAGATAAATCCTGTGTAAAATTATTTGTCTACACTTTGAATCTCCAGACATATATCAAATGTGATTTTTTTTTCATTAAAGAACCTCTAAAAGGTATTGATATATAGAAAGAGAATTGATTTAAATATCCTCAACTCATAATATTTTACTTTGCCAACTGTTTTTATTTACTAGTATTTTCAGCTTGCAAAATGTTCTTAAATTGACTAGTTTATCATTTTCTCTCTTCATTGTGTAAACCCAGAAATCATATCAGATGTATGCTTTATATAGATTTTATAAGAAATACCATAAACTAACAGGCAACTTAGGCAAACATTTCATGTACTTGGTAAATTGTTGCAATATTGAATTAGCTCTAAGCTTCTTCTTTGCAATCTGTACAGTTTTGTCTTATTTGCCTGTTAAACGTGTCATTGGTTTAGGTATAAAGAATAAAATTGCAATTGCGATATTAAAAAGTACTTACATTATGATTTTTTTAAAGCCAGAATGTCCTGCATTTACAACAATGATTGTCATGGGTATGGTTGTGAAAGCAGTTTATATCCAACAATGTGCTAACCTAGATGGTCACTCTCGATGTCTTTGTGAAGGTAAGTAATTTCAAAGTAGCGAGATTAAAACATATGAAACGCTAATGAATTAACAACATGAATTTTCTATTTTCACTTTAGCATCGTCACCATCCGCCAGACATGAATGTGACCAAAGTTTTGACTGTATTAAATGCCACGACTATCAAGTTGGCAAGTGTAACCACAACCAGTGTACCTGCTCTGGTTAGTGTGTAGAATGAATACTGACAATTGAAGGTGAACACGGGGTAGCATAAATAGAGGATAAAGAGAGAAAACTTTTTACTATTGTAAATATTTATGTAAGTAGAGTTTTATATATGAGTAGGGAAATCTAGAAAAGTTAAAATTTTGTAGGAGTGAATAACGGAATTGCTATCTAGGATCTTTTCAATCTCTAAAATTATGTTTGAGAAAAAGCAAAAGAAATGCTTACTTCGTTTCACTTTTGAATATCACATGTCTGTCATTTTTTCAAACGTAATGGACAAAATTAAATCATGGATCATCCAATACATGTAGTTTGATCTTTTGCACTGTAAATACAAACTTAATACTGATCAGTAATCATATATGCACATTGTTAATTGATGCAACTGATAACTTCTTGACAACAACAGGTTTGACCATTATGCAAGGTTCCGACTTGGAATAGAGAAATAGGAAGGGAGATAGTAGGAAAAACTTAAACTGCAATTGAAAAAAATCAAACGCTTTTCTCTAATACGATTTTGAGTACAGGTTATGATAGTGCGATTTTTTTCTCTAGCTGAAATGCCATGCAGTTACAACAATGATTGTCATGGGTATGGTTGTGGAAGCAGTTTGTATCCACAATGTGCTAACCTAGACGGTCACTCTCGATGTCTTTGTGAAGGTAAGTATTTTCGAAGTGAATAATACATGTAATGTGTGAAATGCTAATAAATTAACAACATGATTTTTCTATTTTCACTTTAGCATCATCACCATCCGCCAGACACGAATGTGAACAAAGTTTCGACTGTACTAAATGTCCCGAATATCAAGTTGGCAAGTGTAACCACAACCAATGTACCTGCTCTGGTTAGTGTGTAGAATGATACTGACAATTGACAACACGGGGTAGTATTAAATAGAGAATAAATAGAGACAACATTTACAATTGTACAGATTAATATAAATATAGTTTCATCAGTTAAAAATTTGGCAGATGTGTATAACAGAAATGCGATTAACATCTACAAACACTTTTAAAATTATGTATAATAAAAAAGCAAATAAATGTTTACGTTTCTCTTGTCACCTGTCAGTCGTTTTTAAAGTTAACGAGCCGAGCATAGAATGAATCAATGGATCAGACAACCAAATACATGTAGTTTTATTTTTTCACTGCATTAAAATACAGACTTAAATCTTTCGTGTGTTTGAAAGATTCAATAAGAAAATTCTGCTAATTTGAAACGAGTTGCCCATAACTTAATACTGAATACTTCTCAGTTTCTCATGTTTACACATTGTTGCAACTGTTATGTACAGATTTTATACTAGTTGATTTTCAGATTCCGGATCTTTGGCTACATTTTATTATTTTCCCATTCAGCTGAATAGCTTTATCTATCAGTAAGCAAGATCAGTTTATTGTCCTTTAATTATAGTGATAATTAGTTAATCATGGGTGGTCTTTGTATAATTTTATTTATTGCCTCCCCACTTGAGAGGAGGTAGTATTTTCTCTCCTACACATTGTGAAGGCTATGTTTACTACATAAATGAGCGCGTTTGATCATTTTAGGCAGTTAAACGAGTTGAAGAAAAGTTGTTATTAGAGTAGTTGAAGAAAAGTTGCATTAGATATCAGAATGAATATATAAAGGATTACGGAATTTTAGGATTTTTTTTATATATTTCAATTGGATTATTTTACTATTGTTTCTTATGTGAAGCGTGGACTTATTGTGTGTGTAATATAGTGTGTAATTATGTAAATAAATAAGTGAACATTTTACGGATTTGTTAGTGATTCAGAACAACTCTGAGGAAAGTTATAATAATAATAATAATAATAAAGCCTTTATTTATCCAGGATGACATACTTTAGCAACAATGCTAGTTTTCAATATGGTCCTGCATTTAAACATACATACAGACAGGTATTAGTAAAATACAGTTTTAAAGAAATAGAAAACATATAAGAATTTAAAAAAAAAAGAAAAGAAATCTAAGATAAAAGAATATTAAACAAAATTAAGACACATGGTGGTATTCTTTTAGATAGTTTCTTTTAAAACATAAAACACTTGTCGCACTTCTTATACACACTCAGTGTGTTCCATAGATTGCTGCCTGAGACAACAAAATATCTCTTATAGTACTTGGTTTATTAGTCATTTGATCAATTTTAATTGGAATTTCTAGTTTGTCTTTGACTAACATTTGATACATGATTAAACACGTTCAAATACCAAAGTTAGGAATTTAAAGGGAAAAACCGCTGGGATAAAAAATATGTAGTTACTCGGCAGTGAAAGCTGACTCCCCCGCAGCTCGGCCTGCGCTACAGTAAACGTCTTTAGTACAGAAGGTCTTCCTATCTACAAAAGGTCTGAAAATTTGACCATTATGCAAGGTTTTGCCTTGCAATTGAAAAGAAACCAAAAGCTTTTTCTCGTCCGATTTTAAGAAATAATGATACACTGTAATAGTGCGATTTTTTTTTCTATAGCCGAAATATCCTGCATTTACAACAATGATTGTCATGGGTATGGTTGTGGAAGCAGTTTATATCCACAATGTGCAAACCTAGACGGTCACTCTCGATGTCTTTGTGAAGGTAAGTATTTTACACGGTATATACATAATGTAATTTATTAAATGCTAATTGATCGAATTAACAACATGAGTTTTCTATTTTCACCTTAGCAACATCACCATCCGCCAGACACGAATGTGAACAAAGTTCCGACTGTACTAAATGTCCCGAGTATCAAGTTGGC